TTCTCCACACACAGGTGCTTACAAATTCTTTAGATGATGACAAAACCCTCTAGTTCCACTTTAAAAAAAACTTTCAGAGGGCTTTCTTAGAACAATGGAAATGTAGCATCATTTAAAGAAGGGGAAAACAGGCCATTTCCACTTACATATTTCTACTTTCCTGCTACATCACAGTGCCACCTAGAGGTTTTGTACTGGAAAAGCAGAAAATCAGATGTTCTTCAGGTAGTGCTTGGATCTTAATTCTGTAATGAAGCGAGCTATAGTGAGCGGATTAACAGCTTCATGCAGAAAATCTCTGACCATCCGTTATGGGGATATAATAAAATATACTTTGTAATAATATTTTGAAGGTCCCCATAAATTATATTCATGTTTGGAACTGAAGGGTGGCTAACAACTTTTTTTCCTTGAAAGCCTTTTCACACTGCCAGTCTATTGTAAGAAAATGATGCAAAACCAATTATTATAGAGAAAAACAGAAAAAAGGTGGCATCTAGTTCATTCCTTATACATAAGGTGCTGAGAATCTTTTGTCCTTGTAAAGTAGTTGGACCACAACTATGAACAATAGAAGAACCATGTAGGATCAGACCAATGGTCCCTCTAGTCTGGCATTCTGTTTACACGATAGCTGCCCACAGGATCCATCAAGCAGGGTATGAGTACAACAGCATTCCTTGCCCAGGTTCCCCAAAACCATGGTATACATAAACATACTGCCCCTTGTGACAGTGAATTAGATATTTTTCTATATGCTATGTGAAGTATTTCCTTTTATCTGTCCTCTCTCTCCCACTATTCAGCTTCTTGGTTGATCCTGGGTTCAGGCATTATGGGACAGGATAAAAATGCCTCGTTCTACATTTTTCTCACTTCTGTTAGCCCCAGCCAGCAGATCCAACGGTGACAGATTATACCATCTAACAATATCTAGGTGGTTACTCATGCCACATCCTTCTATACATCTACACATTTTTCCTGTCACCTGGATAACAATGCAATAAAAATGTTCAGATTAACTTGATCATGATGTTGCACTCATCACTGTTTTGGTTATGAGTGCTAAGAAAGTTAGAAGGGGGTTCAATAGATATATAAAGTTGCTTGCAAAGGAAATAGGAGCATTTTTCCTCTTTCTCCCTGCAGCACCGAGAAAAGCCATCCTTGCAAACTTCAACTATGACCATTTTTTGAAGTCTTTAAGCTGTTGCAAGGCTCTTTTCAGTCTTGGACAAGCAATTGTTGGTGACCATCCACCTTGGCTTCTTGTGGATTCGGTTTTTGCTAGGAAGCAAATTCCTGAACCATGTTCCTGTAGCTGTAGTATTGTTTATTTATTTATTTAAAGTTTTTATATGGCGTCCCCTTGCTATATAGCTTCGGGACGGCTCACAGTGGTGGAATTTAAGTTCCACCTTGTCTCTAAGATGATCTTTTTGTATTTTTGTGCTGCATGAAGACAGAGAACCAACAAATTGCCTTTCACTATGTAGTTAAGGAAGGTGAATTTTCTACTCCCATACCAAACACACCAAAAATTACAAATGCAAAATGAATACAATTCAGACTACCCATGTAGTTCAGCAGTGTATGGACTAAGATGTAAAAAGAGACTTCTGAACTCAGGTTCGCCCTCTTTGTCTGCTTCTTAGAGTTTCTACACACGGAACCATGTGTACATTTCTGCACACAGAGCTATGCATTTGTTATTTGTTTGTTATTTGATTCTTGACTGCAAGATCTCCAAAACACACTATTTCATCCTTGACATGTCCTATTAACTCTTGTAATGTTGGAGTTAATAATAATAAAATATTGGAAGCCATTAATAATAGATAGTATACAACCACAGATTCACCCAGTAGAATTCTGACTCCTAAAAACTTTCTCCTTCCTTGCAACTTCACAATTCTGTTGTCAGAATCCTCGATTTGCAGTAATTCGGGGATAGATCTTTGATTTTTCTGTGCAGACCATCCTAGTATATGACTCATAAGGTGTAGTAGATAATTTGTCTTGTTCCACCCCTCCCCTGCCCAGGCCACGATTTTGCATTGGGCTCTACTGACTCTGGTTGGTGGAACCACTTTGCTCTGGTTTGTTTCTGCTAAAACAGAGCGCACGACAGCAAAAGAGAGAAAATCTTGCAAGAGCACAGTCTACCCATACCTGCTGTGATACCACAACTTTAACACATCATACATACTAAGAGCAATTTCAATTCCACTATTAGTATATAGTATATTAATTTATTATTCATCCTTATGTAGTCAAAACAGCACCATCCACATACAAGAAGGATGTATCAGCAGGCTTGCAGAAACCACATTTGCAGAAGTGCCAAAAAAGAGAGAAAATAATATATATTGTTTTCAATGTTAGCTATCTCAAGTCAGCAGCCTTGTGGCACATATATTCTGACAGAAGCCTTCATGGACTACAGTCCATTTCATCAATTGCGCCCCCCCCCCAAATTCTTGCATATGCAACCTGAAATTGTTAAGAACAATAATTCTCCTGAACCAGCAAGCTAGGCAGGAAAGAGTTCCTATTTTCCTCAACTTGGGAAAATTACCATCTTTTGCATGTCTACTGAGTCCCACTGACTTCAGTGGGGCTTATTCTCACCTAGGTGAGTTGCAGTCAAAGATATGTTGCCATAACCAACTTTCCAATAGTAGAATTAACTTTTCCGGGTTGTGCTTGCAGAATATGTTTATTCATTCCCAATCTATGCATTTTTATTTGGAAATGTGCCATTCGGTGAGATTTACTTTTAAACAAGTGCAGTAATACATTGTAGTCATACAACTTGAGCCTATGCACATTTGGTCTAACATGCACAGACTTTCTTCTAAGTTCTAACAAAATCAGCAGAGTTTTCTCTCACATAAACGTGCATGAATTTACATCACGTAAATGTGTAGGATTGCAACCATAGTCTATTTTCTTTTTCTTAGAACCTAATCCTATGAGTATATGTATTATCTTTTAAACTGCCCAACAATGACAATTGTCTGGATGATGTACAAAACTATGAAAAACATAGCACAGCAGGTAAAAACAAAACAACAGAAACAGTACAAAATAAAACCTGGTTCCAAAGCTTTAAAGATTAAATCTAGCATTGTCCATTGTGGAGTTAGGCATAAACATGGGCCTAAGGCACACCTACCTCTGCATAGTCTCAACTGCTTAGATGTACAGAAATGCTATACCATATTGCTGAATCTTTTTATCTTCCACCTTTGGAAATGCCATATTGAACCATTTCACGTAAGTTTATTTATCTGTGCAGCGTATGCATGTGCAAATTATTTTTAGCAAACTATTTTTATATGTATTTGATGGGAATATGTTGAAAATCATTGGCAAATACAGTAGCATAACCCAGTTACAATAACTAGACTATTTCTGGGGTAAAAGAAGTATTTTGAAGGTGGAAGAAGGGGAAAATTTCACACTCATATGCTGGTAGTGTAGTCTGATCAGGCAATATTGGATCAGGAGTATTAAACAGTTAATTTTAATTATGAAATTCCTGCTTATTTTTGGGCATATTAAAGGTTAACTGTGGTGGTAATGTACATGCTAACCACCACACAGATCTCATTGGCAAAACCTTCACAAAGATCATATACCATCAGTTGATCCAGGGAAAAAGAAAATGTGGACAATCATGCATGACTAAATTGCCAGCAATAAACTGTTGTGGAACAGCCAGATGAACTCAGTTCTGACTTAAAAAGCTTCTTTTATTACTTCCATAACATTGAACTCCATTTATTAACTACTAGAATGGGTAAAGACCAGGTGAATTAACAACTCCAAATATATTAACTATAAGTTTTTGCAGTGGAATATTAATGAGGATAATTGTATGCCAATTAAATTATTCTGAAATTTAGAAAAATATTATGTACTACAAGTTCTACATTTTACAATAGCTTACTATGTAATTTAAATATAATCTTCTCCAACTGTATAATGCCTTTCCAATATATTATATATTATTTCCACATTAGATCTATAGCCTTTTTTTCCTCTTGAGAGGACCCCATGCTGCCTTATATAGCTCTCCTTCTTTCCATTTTATCCTCACAACAACCCTGTGAAGTGGGATAGGCTGAAGCTGTAGGCCTTTTTTTTGTCTAATCTTGTGTAGGATTGCACTATTAGCAAGTTTATATCTGGGCTGAGATTGGAGGCTGGGGCTTGCAACACTACACCCCATCTGCTCTTTTGTATTATCTATCATTATAATTGCGACAGGAATATAACTTGGAAAATTCGAATGCATAATGATTTAGAATAGGTTTTGTTGCAAGACTGCTTTTTCGCCTTTATCCAGCACCGAGCACGCGTGAGCCCCAGTGAAAAGGCTTGCTGATACAGCCGCAACGCGACTACCGCTGCTTGCTGCTGCTGCTGCTCCTCCTCCTCGTCTTCTCCTTCTTCTTCCCGAACATCGCGGGGCGCCCTGCGTGCTCCTCCGGTCTCTGGGCGCCTGCTCCTTGCCGTTGCGCTCGCCGCCGCGACCCTTGCGGTATGCGGCTGCTTTTGGCAGCGAGGCACATGAAGGATTTCATTGAGTGTGAAGACAGAGCAGAGACAGAAAGCAGAAGGAGGCGGCCGCTGCCTTTGTAGTCCGGGAGGAATGCGGAAATGTTGAAGCACTATGTCAAACTTTTTTTTTGAAACGGGGTCAAGCCACATTCAGCCAGCGTGGGAAACCGGGGGGGGGGGGAGTTGAGGCGAGGTGGGGGGAAAACTCTTCTCCTGTTGCTGTTGCTGCTCCCAGACTGAGGACAGGAGCCGAGGAGAGAGAGAGAGAGAGAGAGAGAGAGAGAGAGAGAGAGAGAGAGAGAAACTGGGACTTCTAGAGAAGCGGAGGCGGCAGGAAAGAGTGGCAGCAAGGCAGCGTGGAGAGCTGGTGTACGAACCCCGCGCTCAGGGGAGACTGGTTGCTGCAAGGTTTTTTCGATCAGCCCCAGAAGAGTTAGCAAAGCTTCGTTCTCTCCCTCTCTCTCCCTCTCCCTCTCTCTCTCTCTCTCTCTTCCCCCCACCAACGGAGGGGGAGGAGGAGGGGGTTGCGAGTGCATTGAGGTGCAGCCTGCCCTACCGCTTGCAGAAAGATGCGAACTCAGGACAGCAGTAGCGCCCCGGAGGAGCCGCTGCGACTACCTGTGTGGCCCCGACAGTGGCTGCTGAGACCTGAGCTTCGAACCGCAGCCACCATCACCATGTGAACGCTTCGACTCCGGTTCGGTTCTACTCTCTCTGGCCCATCATTTTGATGAGAAGCTGATTATTACTATTATTATTCTCATTATTTAAAAACAAGAGGGGAAAATTCGCCCCTTCATCACTTTTTGGGGGGGGTTGTTTTGATTTTCTTTCTCCTTTCCCCCCTTTTCCATTTTTAACCCCAGCTCTTCTGGAGATCACTTGGGTGGTGGTTTTCTCTGAAGATCGAGGCAGCTCCAGAGCAATACCAGGTACTTTGAAAAGTGCCCATGTGCTCTTCTAGATCCTATCCCTAAACTGGGGGGGGGGGGGGTAGGTGGGAGGAAATGGGAATCTTCCGCTCTCCTTATCCCCTCACTCCGCGTTTCAGATATTCCTATTACTGTAGATAGTGCCGGGTCGGCTTGGGTGCGAAAGGCATTGTTATTCGGGTCTTTTTTCCTTTCCCATTACATGCATGCTTATAGGGGAGCTGCTTTGGGGTGGTCCTTCTGTGGCACGATTTCTGTGGAATACCATGGTTGTGTCTATGCGTGTGCTGGGGATTTTTGAGGGCATTCTTGAGTTTTGGTTTTGGTAGGGAGTGGGGGAGGCGTTCTTGCGGGAAATGCTTATCATGTGTGCTTTCTATTCAGGGGAACGCAGAGGTTAGGAAAGGGGTTTGTGCTTCCTAGTCGCTTCGTTGCGGGCGGGCAGGCACACTGCACACCCAGCTTTTGCACACGCCTTCTTCATGTGACTTGGGAGGGGGCACTACAGTCATTTAGCTCGAAAAACTCGCTTGGTGTGTGTGGGGGGGGAAGCGCTGGAAGAGGAAATTCCCTTCAAGAGCAGCTAGATATATATAAAATTAGATCGGTATCTTTCCATTGCCAGAAGCCGCTTCCTAAGCAGCAATAGCGGCACCTCCCGCGCTGCAAGTCCGCCTTGGGGCTGCTGTGCGTGTTCGCCCCAGGCAGGAGCAGTGGTATGAACGGAAGCCCCGCCCCCTGGCGACCCCCCACACTCCGCCGCGACCCCTCCCTCCCGGCTTCCCGACCTCACACATGCGGAGGCCGCCTGGACAGTGGGGGGCGACTGCATCCCGGAGGCACTCCGCGGCCCCGCCCGCGCACTGGCCATTCTGAGCTCTCGGTTGGCTGAGAAGAGCTTCCCTTCAGAGACACGTGGAGTTTTCCTTTCTCCCCGTAGTTGCAGCGGTTCGTTGGCTTGGTCAGCCCCATCCTCCGTCCTTTTTTCTGTTCCACCTGAGGGCTTTTAGCTTGTGGTAGAAACGTCCACTTAAACCCAGGGCATGCATGGTCTGAAAGCACAAGATGTAGAACCTTTCCTGACGCTAAGTAGTGCTAGGTCTGGTCAGTGCCTGAATGGGAAGTTAACCTCTCTTTATGTTCCAGGGTGGGAACAAGGTGGGATATAAATATAAATAAATAATCTGGAAATGTGTCGTAATAATGGCCTTTAGCATTTAGCAGAAAGTTGTGCATAGTCAGGCACAACACACCAAAGGTTTAGGGAAGGGCAGCCATTGCAGATGTTGCTGGTAAAAAGATTTTGGCACTTTGCAACTGTACGTTAACATCTCTGTTGTAGATGCGTGTTAAGTTGCATGCAGCTACTGCCATGATACTGGAGCAGGGGAGAATGAATCTTGCAGTTTTTCTAATGGAATAGCCACTGAGTTCTTCCTTGTGTCCTTCCTCATGGCAGACATGCCCAGTTTTTAGACAAACTTCTGTGTATGGTTACTTGCAGGATTTTGCCAGCTGCAATAATGTGTGACCTGGCTCTAGGGGGCATAATGTATGCCACTGAAACTGAGCTGCTACCAACAAGATCATTAATCCAGTTATTGATACCCTGGGAATGCATGTTTCAGGGTTTTAAAAGAACATTTCTGTATTTGAGCTTAAAATACTTTTTGCTTGTGTGATGCAGATCTAAAGCACAGATTAGCAAGAATGCACAATGGCTTTCTTCTGTTTTGTATCCCACCATAAAAAAGCATTAATGCATATAAATAGGAAAAAGTGTGTTGGTAGATGGGTAGGGTTTTTTTATTTTGGTGTCTCATGTGACATTACCTGATTGTTGCTATCATCAAGGTTATTCAGAAGTTTGCAAGTCCTGGAAACAACTAAACTAGAGACCACACATATACTGTTACATGGTATGTCTATATAACATAATAGGGAACTGGTAGAGCACCTGTTTGTATGCAGAAGGTCCTAGGTTCAGTCTCTGGCAGCATCCCCAGTTAGGACTGGTAAAACTCCTGTCTGAAACCCTACAGAGCTAGTCAGTGTCTACAGTGCTGGGTTAGATGGACCAAATGTCTGTCTCCATATAAGTCAGCATCCTGTGTTCCTAATTTAATATGGCAGTATTACCAAAAATGAAATCACAAGTAAAATGTAAGAAAGTACCTCTGAGATGCAAGCCAATGAACTGCAACAGCTTTGTGGTTGTGACTGCCTTGTATGTAGAAATTCCCAGGTTCAGTCTCTGGTATTTGCAGGTAGGGGGAGAGAGAGAGAGAGAGAGAGAGAGAGAGAGAGAGAGAGAGAGAGAGAGATCTATCATCGGACCTGGGAAACTGCTGCCAGTTAAAGTAGGTAATACTGGGTTAGACAGATAAATTGACTAGCTTAGTGTAAGGAAGCTTACTGTCCCCATCATAATAATTTATATTCAAATTCTATATTGAAGTTTTTCAATATATTGATCATATACTAGAGCTCTTAAAGCTTGGTGTTTCAAATAATGATAGGCAAGGCTCAAACTGCTTTTACTGCATGGTTAGCAGCCATATTAGGGTTTGATAAATAATTACTATCTGGTGTTGGGTGGCCAGATTTTCATGACAGTCACAGCATGTGAGTGGTGGGAGGCCCACTCCCCTCCCTGAAGAAGTTGGTCTTTGAGAAAAGCTTGTTTTTCCTCCACAAGCTCATGTCTACACAGGAGGGTGATTTTCAGTGAAATCTTGGCTAGGGAGGGAAGAATTAAACCTCTCTGGACAGTGTGGTCCCTGTGTGCTATATGTTTGAACAAAGCAGCCAATGCAAAGTGTGAGAGAAAGAATAAATTCCCAGCTTGTCACTATGTGCAAACTGGGAGCCATAGTTTAAAATAAAATCTAGATTGCTAAATAAGCCATGGTTTGTAGTTTGTTGTTTTAGCAATTGCCTAGAGTGCATTTCAAAGCATGGTTCTTGACTTGCAGTAATGGCAAGCCTGGAATTGGGCAAAGCATGCCAGTTCATTCCTTTTCCTGGCCAAGCAGGGCTGAAGGGGAGCTATTCATGCCTTAGGCTCTGCTTGGGTTCTTTTCTGCTCATGCACAGATTACTAAACCATGATTTAGCTTTAATATTGTGTACGATATCTCTCAGTGTCAATAAGTGACACAGCAAAAGGTGTGACTTTGAATTGTTGTAGGTATAAGTTCTTATTCCTGTACCCACCAGTGAAAACAAAAAATACTGTACCATTCTCTTTTCACTATCCTTGAAGACTTTGCATAATAACATAGATTGCCTCTCTGCACAAGTTAATTACTCCTGATTATGTTGTCAAGATTAGATTTTTCCTATTACTTTGTATATCATATTGATTCTAATCCTTTTTTGTCAGTCGTATGAGTAAATGGGACCATTCATTTTTCCTAAACGAAGTCGCCCTGAATGAGGATGTGTTAGGCTGGATGAAAGGTTGATGAAAGAATGATAAGGGATTAATAATTGTGTTATGTGATCTTGAGTAAAAAGTAAATTAGAATGAAGAATATTAATACAGAATATATTAATATTGAATATAGAATACTAAAACGGGCATTGAGATCTTGTGCTATCACTAAGAGGTGGCGCACATATGGATAAGTCATGACATATATGAGTCTAGTAAAGAAAGCAGGCATTGATATCCTGTATCTCAAACAGTACAATTATCACCACTCATTCCCATCCAGTCATTATGCTGGAAAGAGATCAGCAAAATGTCTTAATAATGCCCTTCCTGAAGGGTATGCAAACGCTTTGCTGTAATGGGGGTTCTGCTTCTTGCTTAGTGTTTTTAATCTAATTTTCTTTCATTCTGTGAGTAGACAGCACTTGGCAGTTGTATCTTATCTGCGGTGTTTCATATGTTGCTGAGGTCAACGTTTTCCTTGCCATTCAGCTGTTGCAACATTGGGTATTAGACCGTCAGAGGAGACCACTAACATTATCATTAACTCTCATAAGCAGAAATTTGTGAATGTTGCAAAGACATGATGTGGTTTCTCTGGAGATAATAATTATATCCCTACCACAAACCAATATGTGAACGAGCCCCAAATGTGGACACTGATAAGTGGTAACTGTTGTGCTGGGAGCCTATGATGTTTATTGGGATGTCCATTGAATGTCCTGTTGGGTCATTGTGTAGAGTTTATTCACTGAAGTATAGCACCCCCCACTTGTATAATATTTTAACTATTCATTGAATGCATCCTCTATCTCCTTGTGATACCAAAAAGTGGCAATAAATCCTGATTTATTAAGAATGCATAGCTTCTATGCACTGCATATAATTGTTTGCATATTCACTTAGCTTTGTATCCACAGACATCTAAAACCTTCCTTCAGATTGCTTCATTTTTCTTCATAGTACTCAGAAATGCTTCATATAATTATATTTTAGAGGCTAACATGAATACTGGGTTGTTGTTTTTCTCCAGAGACTTTTAGCATGTCTGGCTGATAAAGTGAATATTTAAAATGTTTTGGATTATCTTTGAAAAGTAGATTAAGCAGGACTTTTCTACAATATTATTGTCCTTTCCCAGTTCATGACACCTACAATCCAATACCATGCTAGTTTATGCAGAAATATACTGCTACATTCTTTGGGGCTTCTGCCTAGGTCGAGAGAGGATAGGACTGTAGTGCTAATTGTTTATTTCAGGCCTCTAATCATCATTCCATGTGCATCTGATAGAATAACCTTCTCCAATACGTTTCACTACAGATATTTTGCGCCACAACTTCTAGCGTTCCTGACCATTGGCCATCTTGCATATGGCCAGAGTCCAAAACACACAGAGGTTTTAGGAAATACTACAATAAACTGGACTACTTTCATAATAATTCCTGTGACCAAGTATCCTAGCAGTTGAAGTTCTGTGAGGGGAGTTGTTAATAGGAATTCTCAGCATCTCTCAAAACTACAATGCCAAGGGGTAGAGGGGGACAGAGGAAAGAAGATGACT